AATCATACTATAGAAGAGGGAGAGGTCGCGGTGGGGATTGGGGGTCGCAACTGTGTGTTGGGAGGGGTCGCAACTGGACCCTCTCGAGAGGGAGGGGGTCGCAAAAATCCCGAAAATGTTCGAACGTGACGGTTGACCCTGGTTTTAACGATTAAAGTCAAGATTGGAAGTTGCCAACCATTTGCTCAGTTGAAAACATAAAACGACTGTGATCTAAAATTCTCGTGCTTTTTAAATCCTAACAAGCATTATTTCGCCTGATTACTTTTTAATAAAAGTAAGCGAAAGATAATAGACCCGACCGTTATGTTTCAAATGATCAAAATTTAAAGACAACACTAGCCCAGTTAAAACGAATTGCACGACGTCATGAAAAAATACCACTCAAACAACATCTTACTGCGTCTCACTTCAGCCCCACGCCCAGAGAATTTTTAGTTTTCTCAGTGCTAAAGTCAGCGAGTACCATAAAAGCTCCTCACAACAAGGAAGTATATGAAATCACGGAAGTGGCAGCCAGCAGCAAAGAAAGTCAGGTGTGGTATTGTGGCGAAAAGTGTGCTAGTTGCAACGCAGTTAGGAACCCAAACCTGAAAATCGCGCCGACGTAAGATGGGCCGCCCATAGGTGGCCAAACAGCCGTATGTTCCAATACTGCCGTCTGTTATACTGTATTGGAATTCCCTCACAATAACGGCCGCTATCAAAGCCCTTAACTCGTCCAAAGTCAGAAGAAAGAAATAGTAGCCAGTTCTTAGGTTTTCGACCACTCCTTCGATTTCCTCCACTTTGTTAACTATCGGGTATCTCTGCTTTATGATGAGTTCGAATCACCTCCTCACTGCCTTTCAAAGTTGAGCGAAATAACTTCTTCCATAAATGAGCAACTGCAATAATGATGGCGCTTTGGTGACTCGAAAACGCGTAGCGCGGTGTTAGGCGAAGTGATTCGCTTTAGTGCACGCTTTGTCTAGGAACTTATTGGTAGACTGTCTCTCCAGTACCCTCGTAAACGCCTGCAATTAGGTCCCTATTTTCAGCGTTTCTGGCGGTTTCTTTTTTCCACTCCAACGGCGCGGCTCCCGTAAGGGCAGCTAAATCCTTGGCTGAGGCATACACATGCCTGAAGAAGGTGTTAAACACCGAAATATCGCAGAAGATTTCAAAGGAGTTCTTTTTGAAACTTTTCGTGTTTTTTGGAATTTTGGAGTTTTTGAATTTTGTGAACTTTTGGGACTCTTTTGAAATAAATTTTGGTGCCTCTTTGTGTTTTATAACATTTAGGTCCTGATGAGGCTCCGGGACAGCACAATACTAGAGTTTCTTTTTTCTTTTACAGTTCAAATCACATTTGCACTTTTATTCCAGAAGGCAGTACGCACACCTAGCTGATCGCGGAATTTTCCTTTAACAAGGTAGAACTTCATAGGGGTGACATCTGAGGCAGCTATGATCTCATACCAACAAAGTGTTCTACTGGTCAGCATACGAATGCTCCTTTCGACTTTCTGCTAAAATTTTCCCGCATTTGTTGTTAAGGGCAACAATCGACTAGTTCAGGGCAATGAAGCTGTCCAATGAGATTTCCAAAGCTAATTGAGAACTTTCAGATCATCGAGGTCAACGTCACTGGCCATTATTACGGGGCAGCTGTTCATTTCGAGAATGCCACCAATTTGCAATTGAGGATGGACCGCTGTTTAATCGAGGACAATTTCAACTCGGGTATTATCTTTGAGGGTGTGACTGCAAATAGTACGGTAAGTGTGAATTTCGTAATGCGCTTATACTTTGAGCAGAATCTACTACCACTCTGCAGCATATTGCAGCGAATACTTGATGAATGAGAATCATTTTTAGATATCAATTTGGAACACAAATTTTACCCAAAACCGAGGGTCTACGATTTCGGTGGCGCTGATACGCGACACTGACGTCGTTATACGTGGAAACGTCTTTACGACGAATCATCTCAACGACTTTGGTGACCATGAAGCCGTTATCAAAATCGCTACCTTTGCTGAAACGTCAGGTGCGCTGTTTTCCTGCAGAACAGTGCAGAATATTAGACGAGATATGAGGTTGGCCCAGTCTTATTCGCAGCCCCTGGATCGTTAATAAGTCCTTGGATCACACCTAACTCGGGAAACTGAAGCGTCGCGATTAGTAGAGTGGAAAGGGTCATATTTTGTTCGAAATCTTTCCCACAATTTCGTATATCTTTCTTCTTATTACGACTTGCCGACGGATGCGGATGGGTTGTGTTGGGGGAAAAGAAGAGTCGTGATCGACTTTGGTTTTTTTTTGCAATGGCTAAAATTTAGGAAAGAAGCGCGAAATGGCCAAAATTAGCATTTTGACCATACTGACTCCACCTTCTTCTTTTACCACATTTACTCCACCTTCTTCTTTTACTTCTCACCTCCCTCTGTCCCTGCCCCTCCATGGATGGTAGTTGTGTAGAGGCGGGCGGATTGGGCTTCTTTACTCGTCTCAGAATCAAATATTGTAGAAGTACGTAATGGTGAAGGCGGTGATCGAGGTTGGGGAGAGGGGTCGTATTGGGGGACTCCCCTAAGGTTGACGGTGCTGGGGTAGGGCCGCATTGAGGCATCCCTTAAGAGGAGAGGTCATAAGATTCTCGGGAACCTTACATGGCTCCAACCGCTCAAAAGGTCGTCGCTGCTTTTGTCTAGGGCTGGCACCAGATCGTCTAGTCGTACAAAAATGTCGACGAACTGTAACAGCTAAGCATGATGCCAGGGGATCGGTGCATGTTCGGGTTTCTGTCAAGGCAAAGCGGTACCTCCATCAACAAAACCCTATGACAACGTCTGCGGAGCGAACTTTTGCGGCAAACAGCACTTGGCTTAATAGCTACTAGCGCTATATAGGATCGCGTGAACTCATTATGTCATATGAAATTTCAACCATCTTTTCAGAACCTAAAATCCACATTATGGACAACCGCTTCGAGCAGAACGCCATGAACAATGTGATGGAGTTGCGTCATCTCGGAGGTCTGTTCCACCATTTCACCGCAACCTTGTTCTGGTTTGCGTTTCATCGGTAATTCACCAGCACGGTGTGATAGTGGTAGCTGGAGATCGACATCAAAAATTCGAACAGACGTCAGCTTGAGCAGTGGTCCAACTGGGCCCAATATCACCACGCCTTCCCTCACTTAGTATCGTGTTTTTGGCTGGATCTCACAGCTGTTTCGAATTTGGCCGAAGACGATGTTTGGAAGGTTTATTTCACCCGTGGCGATAGGTTATGTGCAACAGGCCTTATAGCCAACGAATTTCATCTAAGGAAAACATTTTTCCAACATTCAACGCAATTTCTAGCTTCCAGACAAAATATAAGTTCACTCACATAGAAATTAATCAGCTAAGGGATTTCGATATCCGGAGTGAATCATTAAATAGATGATTTTGATTAAAGGAGGAATTCACGATTAGAATGAAGGTCGAAGAAAGGGAAACTGACCTAGTTGAGGGACCCACGGACCTCCTGAGGGTGCGAACTGACGCGCAATTCGCATGGAAAAATTTGACCTCGGCGACCTATCATGCCTCAAAGCTGGCGGGTCCGGCGATCTCCGCCCACCGATCATCTGATCACTCGCCGTAGTTCAATACGTGGCGAGTGATTAGATAGCTGAGAGAGCGTAGTGTTGAAGAGGGCACAGCGATGAGAGTCGCATCAATGCTCAAATCAACGGGCAAGGAAGGGGTCCATTTCTCGGGTTCTGGGCCGTTTCTCATGGTTCTTCCTTCTTTCGTGTACCACTCACCATCCCTAGGTTAATTTGAAATGGGTTGCTTTTTCATCGTGAATTCGTCCTTTAAGTCAAAGGGAATTTCTGTATTCATATATGAGTAAGATTGCTGTAACGATGCAGAAAACAACCACCACGCAATGTGAATAAGTAGACGAACGAGTAACGGCTTTTTCAGACCAAGCCAACGCAATTTTTCGTTCCTTTCATTCCTATCGTTGAGGGAGGTTCTCAAGCTAACGAGTTATGGTAGCGATGGGATCATGCTGTTTCAGTGCACGATTCTCTACTATGCAGTGCATAAAGGCAAACCCCGAGATTAGCCCGACTAGTAGGGAGGATACCGCGGGGGAAGTTGTGAGGTGCGTTCCTACCTACAATACCGCTCACAGACGACCAAATCGACACCGATTGGAAGACTATTCATTCACAAACCGTCGCACCGCCATAACTCCGCTGAAAACGAATGAAACGAAAAAATTCAAACACCTTGGGATAGGTCTCTCCACGACGAGTTCGAGGATGTGTTATATGTCAAGATTTGTTAAGTAGGTCATCCAGCTTCACCTTGTAAGCTGGGTTGAAATCCACTTCTGACCTCAAAGTAGGACACGAGTCGGTGGAATTTCTCATATGCAGTAACATATAAACATATGACACATCCTCGAACTCGTCATGGAGAGACCTATCCCACTGTGTTTGAATTTTTCCGTTTCATTCGTTTTCAGCGGAGTTATGGCAGTGCGACGGTTTGTGATGGATTAATCTTCAATCGGCGTCATTTTTCACATTCTGTGAGCGGTATTGTAGTTCACTCCAGCTTCATCGCAAAAATTGCGCGGTTAGGGCGCTAATCCTTACGGGCCTGCAACCATCGACCCCGTTCCAACGCTTCCCACCCACCGCGAGAGATGGTGAGATCAGCGTGCTCTCTCAAACGACGTGCTCTCTCGCGTATTTTGTCTTCTTTGACCGCCCTGTCTCGCCATCGTACCACATCCGACCTTATTGAAGGTTAAGGCCTTAATTTCAGCGTTCCCAAAGATTTCTCTTGCTTTCCTTTCCACTTTCAGGTCGTTCCGCAGCTAAGCTATCACTACAAAGCTCTTAGAACAGTTTATGCGGAGGTTGCCTTTAATCGAGTATCACTGGAAATTCACCTATTTCGTTGTAGGTAAAACTATACCGGTACTGATAGAAAAGAACAATTTTGTTGGGAATCTTGCTCGATCGGTGGTCGATTTGGACGTGCCTAGAGTGGTTGTCAGAGGAAACTACTTCAGTAATGTGGCCCGGTACATTTTTATCCATATGGGACCTTTCAGAGACTTCTGTAGAGTAGAAACAGGGCGAAATACGTAGTGCTCCCTCATCGGCGAATCGACTTTTTCAAAATTCAGCCCCTTCTTTCAGCTAATGCGCTGAAAAGGCGTCTTTTTCATCTGCCTTATTTTCCTGGTTGGGTTGTATTTCGATTAGGCTCGAGTTCCCTACCATTCTTTATTGCTGCAACTTGCACGATGTCTCTGTCTCGCTATTCATCTCTTCGATCCGATTGCAGAAGATGCTGTTCATGACACTGTGTGTCTCAAAATATACTTTTTTTTCAGTCGTCGTGCGAAATAACCAAGCCTCACCCACTCATGCGGGATACTGTAGCGAATTACTGGGGACATGAAAAGGATACAGATGTGAGAACATGTTCGCTACACTCAGAAAACTGCTGAACCGATTCTAGGCTTAATTCTGCTCCAATTTATTCATCGGCCGAGGATTGCGCCTCAATCCGTTTCTTGGAACTACGAAGTGGTCTCGAACGCTGAATTCGGCCGGAAGGCGATAACACACTGCCGTACTCACGACAGCTTCGGTTCTTGTCCAGCCGAAGGCAATGGCGGAACCGCTGCGGCCACATCGACCTACGGGTCTTATTCGAACGACCACTCCCAAGGCTGCAGCGATGGCTGCGGTGCTGAAGCCGTTCGAAAACACCTATAATCAAGTGAAAGCCAGACCACTGCCGTACAGGTGAAGCACCTAGTTCATTAATTTTGGAGACTCTATCTTCTTTTACTCCAGAAAAATAAAGTAAATATGTCTTTTTTCTACTTTAATTCGTCTTCTTTGCTCTTCATTTTCATGGCAAGAACTTAAAGACTTTAAGGGTGCACAAAAAATTAAATAAATAAATAAATAAATAATAATAAATAATAAATAGTTTGGGTTGGCAATGAAGTCGGTTTCATTGTTTGAAGATTATGAGTTGTCCTCTAGGCATTATAACCGCATATGATCGATGCTTTTTGTGGGAAGGGGCGGGGGAAAGGCAAGCATTGCCAAAAATATTGAGAGATTGGGCTACGTATACGACACACCTCGCACTCTCTCTCTCAGCGTCAGCTCGAAGTGGTCCGTATCTCAGGATCAAATTGTCATCTGTCGATTCCGCAGCCGATTGGCTTTTGCTCAGGCATTGATTCACTGTCCAGGAAAAGGTGAGCTATCTGTTTTGCTGTGTATATACATTAATCTCCTTTTCATTTTGTACGCTTTCCATACTTCACTGTTTTCTTCCACCTTCTACGCAAGTATGCACACTCTGGTTTCAGCGTGCCCGCGCGCTGTCGTGACTCGCGTACTTAGTTCACCATTATCGTTATATCTTCTCTTCTGTTGATGCTTTGTGAGTTAGTTATGTTATGAATTGGCGCGGTACTAGAAGCACCAGAAGCACACATGGTATCAATTTTTCGAGGCATTCGCTACGCCGCAGCTAAGTCTGCAATTACGTAGGGCGCGGCCCTAGGAAACAGAGCGTAAGTAGGCGAGAAGCCTCCAAGCAGTGGAGGAAATTAAGTAATGATTATCGCGAGCAATTAGTTTATAAAGCAACAAAATGAATAGTATACAGCATACAATTCTGCTTTTACAGGCAAACTCTACCTTAACGGTACAGCAGACCGTCCGATTCGGCTGTTTGGTGAGTCGACGTGGCGAGGATTGGTGGTCAAACCCGGTAGGTCATTTGAAGTACTAACTCACGTTTAGTTAAAAGTCAGTGGTTCGTGGTACCCGACAGGAGGCGTCACACGGGCGTTTGGACAGAGATGTGGACACAGTCAGCGTACTATTCCACTGAGGATCCGTGGCGGTTGAGCGTTAAGGATTTAAATGAGATGTTGCTTAATATACTCCGCACATCGCTCGCCGTCTAAGTCTTCTCGTCTCGCCGTCGCGCGGCTGGGCCTCCTGTCAGTTAGCTACACAGAGTTAACATGAAGCGTTGTTGTGCATTTCTGCTGTCCATCCATCTTTTTATGTAGTGCAGTTCAGGTGGCACCCTAGTTCTGAGCCACGCGATAATCGAAGGCTCCCCCGCATTCGATCGATTGTGGAATAAGATTCTGACAACAGTGCAGGTGAAAAGCTAGAACTCGTGGATTAGTGGTGAGGTCCTTACATTTTTGGCTTCAAAAACTGTGGTGCAGGGGGTAGAGCTCTGCCCTGATACCGTATTAGCTTAAGGAGACTAAGAACCAGAATGAAGCAATAGGTCTCGTTAGCATGAGTTGGCTTATACATTAGGCCTGTTTTTTTGGGGCAAATGAATACAAAGCGTGCCTCGCTTAGAAATGGGTCTGCTTAAAGCGATATTGCTAAGTATAAGATGTTTTGCCTGCCCTTAAACGAAGGGTTAAGTGATGATCAGCATCAGGATGGTTACGTGGATGGATAAATCTAATGGGTTTTCTGAGGTAGGTGACAAGAGCACTTTGCGCTCCGAAAAGGGCCTCTGGACGTTCTATAATTTCTCGGTGCCCCTTTTTTCCGGCTATCTCTCCGTCAGAATCTTTTAACTATTGGTATAGGGGCCTCGTTGACAGCGCTTGCAGCTTGCGCACGTCCCCTCAGTGCATTTCAACTCTCTGGAACTGGACGTTAGCACCCCGAGATTTCAGGTACATGGTGTCGAAATAACAGCAAACGCGCCGTCAGACGTTGACCCTCGGCAACTCCCGTCATTGAGCGACCAAAAGGCTCAGGAATTGGTGTCGATGAGAGGAAAAGGATCTATAGCCATAAGGTGAGGAAGTTCGTTACTTCGGCGGAGAACCCGGCGTACAACCCTACATTTTGACAGCAGTATACAGTGGTTAGATTGTTTTTGGCAGTATTGGATAAATCAAACGGAAGGCTAGTGTTCGGAATTGTACGTTGAACGCACAGTCTTGCAAATAAACAAATACGTTTTAACCCAATGACGACTGTCTGGCTCGCTGGCGGACTACTTCCACAAAAAGAATTCTATCGGTTCTAAGGAATATTATAACCGGTAACGAAATCGTTGAAGGGTTCACGACTTTTGGTGGAGAATGGATATGGAAAATAGTAGTTAGCGCAACAAGCATTAGCGGTGGTCGTCAATGGCGTTGACTTTATTTTATTCGGGCCGTAGACATGGTTTGCAGTATTACGACAGTCTAGTGATCACAAGTCTGCTGCTCACAAAAGGAATCTTGCGCGGAAAAATCATGATTCTATTTCAGCCATAAATCACTGGCTTGAGACTCATTATCCACGATAATAGTGAAAAGAACTGAAGTATTGCTTTCGTTTTGATTAGAAATTCGAAAACTCGAAAAGGCTGCTACGCGTTCGAATTGCCCACGGACGTCTTTCACGAATGCTGGCGACGGGGATGCTCAAACTTGGTTCTTGGAGTGCATTCACTAGAAGCTCTTTCTGGCCTTCTGCTTCGTTGCATTCACATCTTACACTTCTACTCCATCCTATTCCATCGATCGATTTGTCTCCACTCTCCGAAATCGCGCGCTTTAACCCGATTCTCTCATTGCGTCGCCTGGTACGTAGCCGGCCAAACGCCGTCTTCTTTCCATGCCTCGCCTGGCTCTGCCTCCTGGTCCTTCGATGGTCCATAACGTGTAGTTTTTGTACGTTTGTTTCTCTTCAGAAACCGAATCTTCATGCGTGAAACTTTGTGTGCTATTTCCAGTGATCACAACTGACATATTCATGTTAGGAAAGAGTGCAAGAATTTTCCGCGCAAGATTCCTTTAAGCCGTTTCTACGATTTGATTTTTTGTTACAATAATTCAGTGAGGAAATGTAGTCCTAATGTTTGCGCTTTTCCGAGACTTATGCGCGAAATAATAATCTATTTGAGTTCTGCAGCATCTGCGGCTTTGATGCACATGTCATTCGTCAGTTGAGCAGTTATCCGTCCAATTGAGGCGCAGCAGACTCAACCTTCCAACTGGTTGACTGCTGATTTTCAGAAATGTTGCAATCCGAGACGGCTGGGGTTCCGGTATCGATTTCATATCACCAGCTGAAGACATTCGAATCGAGAACGTTTCAGTAAGCTTCACCAACTGTTGTTCGCCGTAGACATTTTGAGAGGAACCCGCTTTTAGGTGACGAATGGCTCATCCTATTCGATTCACATTGTCGAATTCCCTCTGCTGCCACTGAAATCGGTTTTACTCCAAAACGTGAGCGTCACCGATCAGAACCGTGGCCACGCTGGTGTGCTTGTCACCAGTGGATGGGTGGAACGGATCGAGATCGATCAATCTTTCTTCACAAGAAATACCGTCCCGAGCTTAATCATTGGACTTGAGGTGAGATCAATCAAAAAATGTATCGTAGAAATGTGCTCTTGGAAATTTCGGAATGTCGTTACTGAAAGTGGAGCTTGGAGTTTTCCCCTGATCTTCTTATTTCTCGAGTGTTTTACGCTCGATACATATTTGTTTTGGAACTCCTTCCACATGAACAAAAATCATTTTTTCAAACTCACACATCTTTTAAGCAAAGCTCGTCCAGGCTGACTTCGCTGCCACGAGTAGCGCTACTTGTTTAGTTTGTGCTAGACTTATTGTCTGCTAGGAAATGAATGACCTAAAAATTGGAAATAGCAACAGATCCTTCTAGTACTTAAAGTGACTAAAGGGAGCCTGAATCCATTTTGTGCTCTAAGGAGGCTGATAATAGGCAGGGATCGTTTTTAGGGTGGTGTGCTGTACAGGCAAACCATCCTTCCAGGATCGGTTATTCGAAACCATACTTGTCTGGTCGGACAGAAACCTGTTTTGTAGATTGTCCCAATGATTCATTGTACAGGTCAAATCGCATTAATTGCCATCATGATTCGAAATGGAAGCAGAATGCGTGGCGCAACCCAGAGAGGGAGTTAAAACGCCGAATGCTCTTTTTTGATCCATCAGTAATGTTTCTTATTGCAGTGTCACGCGCAGAAGTCTCCTAACTCGAATGACGAACACGACATTTGTGAACAACGAGGATACAGTGGCTCATTTTGATATGGGCGAATGTGGAAGTGTGGAGGTGGAGGGAAATCGCTTTGCTGAGAATAACAACAACGGACGAAATGGGGTGTTGATGATGAACGCTGCGCCACAAGGAGGTGTAAGTCGTAGAAATTCATTGTACCGATTTGACTCTGTCCTTACTTGTTTTGACGCACGGTAAATGAGTTTCCACTGCTTCATTAGATGCAGTTTGATTCTAGTCATCTTCACTACCGATCGTCATCACAAAGAATGAATTCACCAAAAATGGCGGTGAATACTCGGCAATGCTATCCATGCAAGGACCGAATGGCGCTAACGGATCTTCAACGCAAATCGACTCAGTGGTACGGCAATCGGAAACCGATGCGTAGGACTAAGACCGATGCCAGACTTTGCAATCGAGCGTTTCACTGGCCGCGACGCGACCGTTGACGCTAGCGAATCACTCGATTCGCAGGTTCTGACAACGGCCTAACAAAATTGATACGACCGTAGTTTTGGCCAAATAACACCGGGACA